CCCATCTCTGGTCATCTCCCATTCTTTCTAGGATTTTCTCCCTTAGGAAGTGGAAAGGAAGCATGTTTGCAAAATCAGACAGTGGGGTGGTTCTACCAAAGAGTGCTTTGTTCACTAGACCGCTAGTTATGAATGAGTGGGGGCGATTGAATTTGCTTACCATTAAAACTCCTCCGCACACTGGAATTTTAGAGGCTGAAATCCAGTACATACACAGAACTGAGATGGAAAACCCTATGTGAGGTCAATGCTCCTCAATGATTCATCATCTAAATGCATCACACTTTCCCACTTGACAAACAGGTGGGCCAACTGTAATGATACTCTCTTCCCATCTTGGGCTAAAGGAATCTCAAGGATTCTGGAGTGACCAAAGGAGGGTAGGGAGAAGTGAAAGTGATGATGAAAAAGTGAAGATGAGAAGTGAAAGAAGATGAAAAATCAGTGGACATTTACTGAGCATTGAGTATCAAGCATTGTAACAATACTATTACATACATGATTTAGTTTAGTCTTAAATGCCCCTTCAGATTGGCATTTTTAGCCACTAGTTCATAGATATATCAAAGTTCAGAAATATTCACTGGCTTTCTTTCTGGAAGACATGAATCTTTTTATTATCACCTTCTCCCAGGTGTCTGTATCCATCCTGAAAGAAATTTTTGGACCAAACACAAATCAGAGCCATGGGTTTGGTGGGTACAAACCTGGAAAAACTCAAGGCTCTGGCTTCTAAGGACTGGGAAGAATAGAGGAAAGGGGAGACTGGACAGAAAGTAGGACTTTCTGGACAGAAAGTAGGACCCTGTTGAGAAGGAAGTGGGAAACAGGCATTTTGCACTTAGTATCTTCCTCAACAGTCTTTGAACATCTCTTTTACAGTCTCCATGATTATTTAGACCAGAAATTCCTAAAGAAAGGGGGACTGGTGAGGAAGGAAGGAGCCCTGAACTGTTGACATATGTGTTCCCTATGATTTGCCGGGCTGGTGAAAGGCAGAGACAATGACTGAGGGGCTAAAGGAAAGGAGATTCAGCAAAGGCGTAGCTGCCCTTGGCTGGCATGAGATGAACAGAGGCTGTGTCTAATTCCCTACTACCTGAGCCGGTAAACTTTGAACAGAGAGAAAAAAAAACAAAAAAACAAAACAAAATAAAAAAACCCCAAACCCCCTGCCTCACATTCCTTCCACGTCCAACCAATATCCTAACATCTCAAAGTCCCATGGAAAACAAATACCAAAATGAATTCCACAACTAGCTGTAGAATAAAGATGCCTATTCCCATTTGTTAGCTAAGGAATTTTAAGTATTATGAAAGTCAATGGTTTGTCCATTCTTCCTCTCAATAGATTAATTAGTTCCTACTCTATGCCCAGAACTGGATACAGTGGCAAACTAGGCAGACATAGAGCTTATAGAGTAGTGATTAATCAGTCGTTAAATATAAATCAAGTACATAAATAAATATAAAATTACAAATTATGATACATTCATGAAAAGGAAAGCATAGGGAAGTGTAAAGAAATGTGATGGAAAGATTGGCATAGTTTACATTGGTGGGTCAGAGAAGCCCTGTCTATAGAGGTGAACATCATGCTGGGAGCCAGGAAAGGAACAGAGAAGCAAAACAGATAGCAGAAACAGCCTTTGCAAAGGTCCTGAGGCTGGAAAGCAAGTGGCCAGTGCATCAATGCGGGGAGGAGAAGGTCAGAGGGCAAGGAAGGGGGCATATTATGCAGGCCTTCTAACCCATGACAAGCACTTTGAACTTACTAAGTGCAATTGGAAGCCATCAAAGGGTTTTAAACAGGAACAAGATGTGACCTGATTAGCATAAAAAAAAATCCCACTAATCATGGAAAATAGATCAGATGAGGGTGGAAACTATGGCTGAAGTCCCCCTAAGAGTTGATGAATCAAGCCCAAGAAACATTAAGTCCTAGTCCTTGATTCGAACTACAAAAGTTGTCTTTAAGAAACCATTATTTGTGATGTACAATCTACAAAAAAATGTGTATCATTTTATTAAACAGAATCATACTTTTTCAAATTACTTATCAACTAAAATGATCTAAAGGCCCAGGGGGTCGCTTCAGGGCGATGCAATGTCTAGCTGGCTTCCCTGGTCACCTTGTTCTACTTTCCATGTTTTCCAAGAACAGAGGTTGTGGAGGGTAGTCATGATTGAGGAACACATATATAGGTCATTTGCATCTGATTCTCCTACCCAGCCTCAACTTCATTACACAGCAGCGGCAACAAATGTCAGTGGCAGGAAGTACCCAACAAGAAGAATTAACCACAACTTTTTTTCATCCAAACTTACACACACACTGTCACACACACATACAGTTGGTTTGAAGTGGGGTGGGGGGAGGTAGCCCGCCTTCTCACATTTTTAACCAATAGGATCTCGTGTCTGCCATCAAAACAACAGCCTCTCAGTCAGTTGACCTTTCGTGATGGAGGGGGGTTGTGGGGAGAGGAGGGAGAAAGGAAAGAGAAAACTTAGGCTTTGCATCATTTGTCACTCTAACAGTTGAACACTGAATCAGTCTTATGTTACAGACACATTAATTTGATTAAGATACAATCCGTGGGTCATTCAGGCATACGAAGTACTCTTGCTTGATTGTGAAATTAACAATGAAATCGGATAAATCATTACCAAACTAGAGGTTACTCTGGGACTTGCAGATTGCCTCCCCTCCCCCCTCCTCAATTCATTTTCTTCATCTAATGCTGTTTTTGACACTTAGAAGGGAAAATCCGTGCTAAGACAATGGTGGCACACCAGCCTTAAGCTCTCAAGGCATTAGTTAAGGGAGCTAACGCTGACTCAAAACAGGAACTGATGGTAGACCCATCTCCCAAAGGGTTCCCAGAGTCCCTCCAAAGTGCTCATAACCATTCCAAATGCACAGGCACTGCAGGAAGTTATACACAGCCTCAAGAAAGCCACTTTGACATCTGCAGGCTGAGATCCTTGTTTCCATTTTTACTACATTATCCCCTGCCTGCCACCTTGTTTCTTTCTAGGAGCAAGATGAGTTTCAGACTCTGGGCCACTTCTGGTCAAATATCTACCAAATCTCCACTGTGTTTCAGGCACTGTGGTGCAAAGATAAACAACAAGACTTGAGCGTGGATCTGAACAAGCTTTCCCCCTAGTTGGTCACTGTGTCCTCATCCGTTCCGTGACTCCATGGCACACGGCTGGCTATGGCTTGCTGCCCCCTGACGTGCTGCAGTGGAGGCATGCAAAGCACCACGGGACATAGACAAGGAAATTAATCAGAGAAGATGTGGCCTTACGCGGAATGAAGAGGAGTTGATCACTCAGAGAAGGGAAGGGGAGGGCATTCCCAGCAGAGAGGACAAGACAGGGAAGCTTGGGTGCACATTAGGTATATGGTCACAACTGTGGTGTAGCAAGGCAACAGCCAGCTGTTTTTCCCATCTTGGGAGAAAGCATTATTGTGGCTTAACATATATTCCAAATCTGGAGTATTAAGGTGAATCAAGCCCCGATCCCATGTAATATAGAAAAAAGAATGCTGGATTGGAATTCGGGGGACTCACTGTTCCTGCATCTAACACACTATGTGACCTTGAGCTTGGTATTTCACCTGTCTCTGCCTGGGTTTGGCGTCTGCAAAATGGCAACATAGATCTCTTTCACAGGATCCTTTGAAGGGTTAAGTGGGAAAATATATGTGAAAGGTTAACTTCAGAGCATCAAATCCTTTTTTTTTTTAAGTTTATTTATTTGGCGAGAGAGGGAGGGGCAGAGAGAGAGAGGGGAAGAGAGAGAGGGGAAGAGAGAGAACCCCATGCAGGCTCCATGCTGTCAGCACAGAGCGCGACTCGGGTCTTGATCTCATGAACCGTGAGATCATGACCTGAGCCGAAATCAAGCGTCTGGACACTTAACTGACTAAGCCACCAAGGCGCCCCTCAAATCCTTTTTGATAAGAGTGTAAATCATAGATAGCAAACTGAAGAAGTTACTGATATTATTTCCAGTGGGCACTGTCATGACATGTTCATGGACCAACAAGCCATCCAGTGGCTGAAATGTAGGGAGCATGGCCCCGGCTAGCTTGGATAGACTCTTGAATGTGTGTGGGTTTTGGATTTCATTCAATTTAGGAACACGGGTTTAGCCATTATTGTATTCACTCAACAGATAAATAGAACTGACTCTTAAAGATCATTCAAAGTGAAAAGTAGAACCAATCATCCAACCTACTTAGTCTGTGCCCTTGCGAGTGACCCAATCACTGTACCAACAGGTTGACCATCTGAGAATTTCTGAAGGGCACTCACTGGTCCGATGAAAAATAGGTAGGATTTGCTTCAGCGAATGAGAGTTGGAAATAGCCTCCACGTTCCCTTTCAGCCCTAATGCTTCTTAACTATTCTGTACATGGTGTTCATCCAGATGCCAGTACATACACCATTTCTGTGTTCCGAGATGCCAGGGTCTGGGTAATCCCACGTGTGGCTCAAAGAGACTGATGTGTATGTTATGGCTCTGAACGTAGACTATACACTCCCTAGAGACTTCATGAGATGATGCAGGGATGTTTCTAGAAGAGCTTTCAGTTGGAACCCCAAGCCATCTGGAGCAAACCAAAGAGTGAGCAAAGCAAACTTGTCACCCTGTGGAAGCAAAGATTTAGCGGTGCGTGACACCTAGGATTACAAGATGATGGAAAAAAGAAAACTCTGCAACCGTCGACTCCCCTCCTGCACTTTCCTTGTGAGGGGCTGAAGACATTTTATAGACGTGGATGTCTACTTTTCTCATTGGCACGTTACTTTATCCTCCAGAACTGCAAAGGTTCCCCTTCCCTCATTTTTAAGAGATGTCAACCAGATCAAGATGAGAAGACCTTCGAAACCTGCCATGCCTGTGAAGATCATTGCTTAGAGACAGAGCCGGGGCAGCTTTGACATTTGTCCCGTTCCTCCCAGGCAACAACTCTAACTCTCTGTTCTCCTGCTGTTACATGGGAAAGAAGGGACAGACTTGAAGACACAGCTCGGCTGTGTGTCCTTGAGCAGAATAATTTACATTTCTGGCTTTGGATCTCTTTTCATCATTATCCTCAGAAGGTAGACATGACCTCAAATATCCCTTCCATTTTGGATTCTTCACCAAACTAGGACGCTTCCGACCAGGCTCTATTGGCAGGGCCAAGAGCCATGAAAAAGCTCATAGCCAGCACCTTTACTTCCTCACTTCTAAAATGAGGGTAGTGACAGCTACTGTGCAAGGTAGCTGGAAAGATTAGATATAATATATGCAAAGCCCTAGCACAGTGCCTGGCCTGCAGGCGCCCCATAAATGGAGGTTTTTAAATCAAAACCTAAAGGTTTCCAGGTGAAGCCTCTGCCAGTCTGACCTCTGTCTCCGCGGTCCCAGGCATCTTGGTGGCTTGAGCACATGGCCCCTGACTTAGTGCTGGCCACTGGCTGCCCCAGGTCCAAACAGCAGAGCAATGTCTTAGGCTCTTCTGTTCCATCCAGAGGTGACACAGAAAGCCCGCAAAGTTTTCTGCTTCCTTTGGCTGGAACCCTGTGGCCGTGAGTGCAAGCTAGCTCCAAGTGTCTGTGAAAGGGAGGCTTTTCCCAAGGCCAGCCATTCGTTCCGCTGGGCTGGAGCCTGCGAGCTCTCTCCATCCCTTGCCATTGAGGGAGGACGAAGTGCAGGAAACCAGGAGCCTAAAGCAGGGAGCAGGCGGTCCTCCTGCGTCGGCTTTGCCAACTTGCCCGGATCCCAGGGTTCTCAGCGCTCGAGTAGGGTTAAGTCGTCACCACAACGGCAACGTTGTTGTAGGCACCGTGCAGGCTTGAAGCGGTAGAAATATGTCTCACTTGCTCCGACTCCCCACCCCCGGCAGAACCTGAAAAAAATCAGAAAATTCCACTTGCTTTTTCCTATTTAATGAGGTCGAACATTCTTAAGGAATGAAAAGCACAGCTCCAGCCTAGCTTTTAATTAGCTTCAGGAGCCCTTGTTTCAAAGTAGCCTCGTTCCCAAAGCTATTCTCTCTCTGCTCTGAATGAGATGGAAATTCAATTGCATCCGCCTTGTCGAGTCAGAATAAGACGCTCCCCCCACTCAAGGTCACATGGGGAAAGACACTCAGTAGCCAGACAGACGCTGCACTTTTTGACCCCAGCAGGACGCCAGAACCTGAAAAGGACGCTTAACAGAACCCCGGTTTAGACCAAACTTGGTGTTGTTTCCATAGCCCCATCACGTGAACTCGGGCTGGTTTTCCACATGTCCAGAGGAAAAAAAGCCATGGACTTGAGAGCCCAACAGACCCAGGATCAGATCCTACCTTCTCTTCTAGGTGCCTGTGCGGTTAACTAAGTGCTCATAGCTTCCGTCTCCCTCACTGTGACCCAGACATTGCTGCCTGCCTTGTGGGATGGCCAGAAGGACCACGTGAAATATTGTGAGTGAAGCATAACGCCCCAGACATCGTCGGGGTCATCAGTGCTCAAACACTGCCCTTCCTCTTCCCTCTCATCTGTACGACAGGGTTAATGGCCCCCACTTTGTTGAAGTAATGACCCAAAGGGAGTGTATGTAGATGAGGGCGGGAGCCCGGGTTTGGCATTCAGAAGTCAGGGGTCAAATCCCAGCCCTGCCCCCTCCTGCCCGTGCAACCTCGGGCAAGTGCCAGAGCCTCACAGTTTCCTCTTATTTGCAAGCTGGGATACCAGCAGCTCCTCCACAGGATCCCTGTGAGGACTAAATGAGATAGTGTACAAAAAGCCCCAGCCTAGTGCCCGGCACACGGTGAGTGTGCCATAAATATTAGCTACTAACAGCAGCAGCCGCAGCCGAGAGTACGCTGTAAAATTTAAAATCCTCTAAGATGCCCGTCTCAAATCCTTTCTGGAAGGAATGTGCCAAAGTTACCGGTGCTTATGTAAATGTAAGTGGTTATTATTTATGTAGGAGAACATTACTGAGTATTATTCAGGAAGAGGGAGAGAACAATGTAGAGAAAGACGAAATTTACGATACGGTCTTCAAAGGGGAAAGAGGAGAAAATAACATCTCACCCGGCACGGGAGGAGCATCCCCGTGTATTAGCTCAGAGCTGCCTGTCTGCAGAAGTTCCAACAACCGAGGCTTCTCTGAAGAAAGAAAAAAGGGAGAGGAGAGGAAGGGAAAAGAAAGGGGAAGAAAATCTCATTCTGTTTCCTCTAAAATTAACCCTAAGGCTGTATTTATCCAGCAGAATCTTACTAAACACCCACCCCAGGGGAGATACCGCTACACCGAGGCCCTGCTCGGTCCTCAGGGAATCTGCAGTCTAATGAGAACCTTACAACAAGTACATAAATAACTAATTAAAGGTAGAAAGGGAAGTGTCATGAATCATTATCGTCGTCATTGTTAGAAGCCATTTTGTGGCATCCCCCGTAGTTGGTACACCGTCCTTTTTCCCGAAAAGAATTTCGGCCGGTTTATGATCTAAAAGAAGATGTACACTGAGCCACAAACAAAACTCGAACGAGAAATTTAGACTAAAGTCAAAAGGAAGGACGAAGGCTAATCTAATTGTCGGATTCGGCATCGGATTCAGCTTCGGCTCGGAGCTTCCTGGAAGTCAGGGCAAAATGGGAAACTCATTCTCGTAATTGCTCATTTCTTCAATGCGGACGCTCTCTGAAGCAACATACGGAAGGCTACACAAGGCCTAATTCGACAATCTTGTAGTTTCTATTCAATTGGCTAACGCAAAAGGCACGCGTGTCTGTGGAATCTTGAGACATTCGGAGAAGGCATTAATCATCATCGACACTGAAGACTATGACTTGGGGTGTGAGTGACTGTTTTTTGTTGTTTTTCGTTTCTGTTGGGACTGTTTCTCAGCCAGCAGCTACGCCGAACGCAAGCCGTTTCACTTCGTACGTTTATAGGAAAAACGGACATACTTTAGAACACTGAGCGATTTTCGTGTCGGTAGGCTAGACCTGCTCATTTTATTTTCCACGAGATTGCACTATGCCAGGGGGCTTTGGTCTGTCGCAGGGCTCTCTTGGGTTCATCGCTGCTGTTCTCAAGTCACCCCCACTCAGCCAGGTAGGTGGGAGGGAGGAGAATTAGCCAATTGTACAGAAAAATCAAAGACGCTTGCTCGCAAAGGTACCGACTTCTGAGAATTACCATGAATTTTGCATGCCACTGACTAAGAAAGGAAGGAAGGAAGTGACATCTTGCAGGCCCTGGGTTTGGGCGGGCTGCGGTGAAGCAGACCAGCTGCTATTTTTCTGGCTGGTTTCTGGCCTGTTGTGATGTCTTTTATTAAACCAGCAGAACTTGAACTTTAAAACCTGTTTTAGTATATGTGCTGCCGAAGCGAGCACTAAAACCTGTGTTAAAACACCGTGTTTTGCCTCCTTTTCTAACGTCAGGCATAAAAGTCTTGTGAGTTGGATTAATGAGGAAGACTTTTTTTTTTTTTTTTTAATAAGAAACAAACACATAAGACAAGCAACGAAGGAGGGGAAGAGGAGAAATACGAAGAGAATTGCCAAAGAGGTGGAGGGAGGCAAAGATGGCCTGAAGGCAATGATGTCTGACCCCTTCTCTGCTCAGGCCCTGCAGTGCCCCTGAGAGGGGTTGCCCAGCCCTCGGCCATCGAGAGAGAGAGAGAGAGAGAGAGAGAAGGAGAGAGAGAGAACTGCGCTCAGGGACAGGGCTGGACAGAGAGCCTGGTCGCACGTGCTGGCCAATACCACGCACATCTGTTTGATCTGGCACTGCTCACCGACCAGCTGTTGGCACAGAATCAGAAAGGGCAGGTGGGGGCGTTGGGGAAGGGGCAGGAAGGGGAGAGGGGATTATGCACAGTTGTTCCAAAAAGGAGAATGGCGGGGGGGGGGGGGAGCGGAGGGGAGGTCAGGAGGAATGAGGCTGAGAGGGGGCCCAGGGGCAGGCAGGGGCAGGAAGCCCACAGCTGTGGTGGTGGGCACCACCACTAATCACCCTCTGCAGCAGGTGAAGTCCCTGAGTCAGAGTCCGCAGGCACTGGCCATGTGACTTTAGCAGAAATTCAGGCACCGGGCCAGGTTTGGGCAAAGTGTCAGGAATGCTTTATCACTCTCCCCTTTGACCCATCGGCTCTCTCACTACTGGTGACCCTCTCAGACTTCCAAACGGGCCGCCATGTTGTGTCCCTCTTTTTCCTACAAGGTTAAGCCTTCCGTTGCCTACCTCAAATGTTGGGTTTTGGTTTTTTCTTTCTGAGCTCACAAAGACTTACTTTCTCTAAACTGTTAAGATCCTCCCAGCTATCTAGAGAGAACGCTGGAAAGAATAAGCCTTCCCACTTAACAGAGGCCCTAGGAAGTGTAAGCAATATTCCTGAAGTCACCTGGCTCAGCCAGTGGAAGAACAATTTAGGCGAATGCTGACTCAGCAACATTTGCCCTGCCAAAATTTGCTCTGGTCCAAAGTTCCAACCATGTGCCAGGAGGCTGAGTTGGTGAGTGGTGAGTGTACTCACCAGGGGAGAGCTGTATTATTATGTAACCTCAGTGTGAAATCTTACACAAGCCTAAGTTCTTTGTCCACCATTTATTCAACGCGATGTGCCAGAAACCATGCTGGCTCTCAAGTAGCTCACCATCTGGGCGATCCTTTTCTGAGTCTCTAACCAACGTCCATTACCTGAAGGGAATCCATTCTGGTAACTCCCGTGGGTTTGAAAATCTCACACATTCATCACCTTTGCAGTGGAAAAACTTCTTCCCTGCTGTTGGCATCACACGTGACAAAAGAGACAGGACATCGCACGGCAGCTGGGATTGATTACTGGGTCTGTTTGCTTCTAGGACCTTCTCAGCGCCCAGAGGCTCTAAAGAGCATGAGATGGAATTAACAATATTCAATTTGAAAGATGTAGAAGAAAGACCATTTCATATGGTCTGCCCTAATAATATAGGTTCTGGATCTGAAGAGTTCCAAGGTTCAAATCCTCCCTTTGCCGCTTATTAGCAGAGTGAAATGAAATCACCCCTGTAATGGCATGGAATTGGGCTACTCGTATGCCCAGTTGAAGAGGGAAGGGAAGAGGGAGGCTTGTCCCTTACAGACAGGACATCCATAGTGACAGCAGCCTATCTTCAGCCTCCCATGGTTTTTCTTTATAGAATACCCTGATTTCCCACCTTGTGCCACTGCAGTTTAACACACAGATACTAGGGCTAAACTTTCCTACTCAGCAAGGGAACTTCAGACCATAAACCATCTACAGATAATATCAGCAAAGGTAAGTCTGATTCCTCAATGACCTATCACCATCCAGGCTTCCCTGAAGGGAAGCCCCACATTAACTCTCTGGAGGCCTTTGTAGCTGCTTCCAGAACAGGACCTTCTTGATCGTCCAAATGGAAGATGGTCTTCTTCTGGTTTTCTGTAACACATTTCCCAGCCTTCCCTCTCTCCTTCTGGATCTTATCCCTTATCTCTCCAATTTCTGAACACCTTGTTGCACTTCTCCCTCACTGGCTCACTCACCTGGACCTCCGTGCCCACAGGGGCCACACCGCTTCCCGTCACCCAGCCTTCATGCCTTCCACAGCGCACAGCTCACCACAGCCTCTATGCTGCCTGTGAGTCATATAGGGTCACAAGTAACATATTAATTAAATGCACATTTGCATTCTCAAATTAGCTTCCATAGTCTGTATTACAGTCTTGAAGCATTGTAGACACTATATTGATGTAAAACACAGATGTCCATAAGTCATCACATGTAGAGCTCTTTCTCCGGGACCCAACCGCCACAACTAGGACTGGCTGATTGACACCCTGACCGGTTGATAGTCTGAGAGCTCCCCACTGACTGGTGTTCAGCTCTGCTCCAGGCTGAGGGCTGTTACTGCGACCCAGCCTCAAGTCTGTCCTTTCTGACCTCATGCCCTAGGTCCCATGACGCGTCTTATCCCCGATACTGAATACCTGATCCCATAATCCACTGGTGTCCTGATTCTCAGAGCTGTCAAGCCTCCCAGGTATTACCATTGGTCACCAGCAGCCACACGTCCTGTCTGAGACCTTTGGGAACAGGACTGGCTCCCGGCCTCCCCCCGGCATGACGATGTAGTGGGAACAGACTCCGGGTTTGAATTCTCACCCCATTGCCTCTTACGTGACCAGCCATTTGATCTGTCTGGGCCTCAGTCTCCTCATCAGTAAAATAGGAACAAAAACACCCTGGCAGAGATTCTGTGAGAATTCATGGCAATGCAGAGGGTTTAACACAGAGTCTTGCTCAGGGAACAGTAGCTGTTTTTCTTTGGATGGTTATCTGGCTCAATGCTGACTGCCACCTGGCCTGTCACCTCCTGCCTGTCCTCATATGCTGCTGGCACTGCCCACACCCACACCTCCCTCACGGCCTCGTCTGGTCTCCGAGTTCCAACTTTTCCTGCCCCTCTGAGTGAGTCCCGCTGTGTCTGTTCTGACCGCTGGCTGTGCCAGTCCTTGGCAACTCTTCTCACCTCCACACTCAGTGACCATCATGTTGGTAGCTTGCACTTGGCCACAGAGGTACTATTTATTTACTCCACAGAAATCAGCAAGCCGTACAACAGGGCTCTTTCCCCTGGAGAATTTCTAGTGAAACATTTGCAAGCACACTTGCATGGACTCTTCATTCTTTATGTACCTTCTCTACGCCTGATTGCCTGACCTAACGCTCACTTGTAGTCCTTCTAAGGGAACACCTCAGAACTTTTCTTCCGCGCATGGACTGGCCTCTCCTTTCAGCAAGAATGCTGCTAAATCCCATGCCGAAGGCGACAGAGCAACTCTGGGCCTAGGCATGGAAACATGACACCAGGAAACAAAAAAAGTCTAACAAATATACATCAACCTCAGGATTGACCCCACCACTAATGAGCTCTGCTCAGCACAGCCAAAGCGTTTTCTTCCTGCCGGCCCCCCTCCTGGTGATGCAGACTCCAGGGGCCCAGGCCTTCACCTGAGCTCTCTGATGGAAATCTTCCAGGCCCTAAATGACCAAGCCCTTCATGCCCCTCCTTGAATGCCTCTGGCTTGGAAGCACTCCTGTCCTGTAGCAAAGAGGGTGTGGCAGGAAACGAATCCCTTACTGCTGAAAAAGGAAGCCCTGCCTTTCCTTCTTGTTTTGAAGGCTCTAAACCACACGTGTATGCTAAGGTGTAAGCATTTTGAGGGCTCAAATCTTGTTTCAGAGGCCTGAGCAAGTGCCCTGCCCCTCAGCGGTGTCGAGTTCAGATCTGCTGTACCTGGGACCCCTTCTGAAGTTTGTAATGGTTCCTTAGCGCAGGGCCACACTTAGCTGTGTATGCCCTTGAAGAAGGACTTATTAAGTGAATAAACAGTCCGGGGAGCACGTATGGTGGGGTGGAGGAGGGAATTTTTTTTTTTTTTTTTGGTTTTTTTTTCTTTGGAGGAAACGTGTTCTTGTGGATTTCACAAAGCAAATCATCATCTGCTGTCGTACAACCCTATCTATCTTGGTATCTGTCCTGGGTCTCCTTTCAGCAGTATTTTGTTCCTGACTGCACCTGAAAGGATTCCCACAGCCCATCCTTCTTGCCCATTAAACCTTAAGTCCTCTTTTCTCCCCACGGGACCCATACATTCTACCCATTTTCGTCTCTTCACAATTCCAGACGACCCATGGAAGGCAAAACACTTCTCACTACCCCACTTCCTCCTGTATACCCACCCCTCAACTTGCTGCCTCAAAATAGGCACACCGACTATGCTTTCGTATTGCTGTCTTTAATGATGTTCTTTACAGGGACACCAACAGAGAGCGAGGTAGGTAGGGGAGGAACGAAAGTTTCAGCGTTCTCTCCTACATTCTCCTTACTCAGGTCTCTGACCCACACAAAAATGTGAAATGTGAGCCCATCGTTCTAATAACCCTTCTTTGCCTCTCTCTCTTCTCCCCTCTCGCCTTCAGGGCAATGCCGCCTGTGCTGTCGGATTACTTCTAGTGTAATGGCAGACATCATGACCTTACTGAGGCACTTCGCGGCTTACAAATCACTTTCTGTCCATTATTTTGGTGAACATCAGAACCTCCTTTTGACCCAGGTGTTGGTGTGACTGCCACCATTTTAATGGGTCATTGAGACAGTGTAGACAGAGTGCCCGATAGATGCCTGTATCAGTCTCCCCCCACCTATTTTGCCCCAACCAAAGAAATACAGCGATTAGACAACGATTGTATGTAATCCTTAAAAAGAACCTGATTCAAGAGATTTTTTTTCCCCCGAGGAAAGCATTCTCAAATTATGTTTTAACTCTATGTGATGAGGGAAATCCACATACACTTTGTATTTTCCACCCAGCTGGCAACAGCCTCTTGGTGGACGACCAGACCCTTCCTTTTGTTTTGACATAGTGAAGTCAGGGTGCCTCAGACTGGACATCCAGATGACCTCTTGCTGTACTTCAAAAATCAAGGTTTGAGCCAAATCTGGATCAAGATGAAAAATTGCCATTATTCCCCTGCTGGCTTAAAAAAAAAAAAACAAAAAAAAAAAAAACAAAAAAAAACTCTATTACTTTTTCTTCCTGCTTTCTGGTCCAAATTAACCTCAGAAGTATTTAGTTCTTCAATACAGAATACCTATTGTCTACCCCATGTTGGAATAACACAGAACTTATTTTAAACTATTTATCATTTTAAGCTTTCCATTAACTCTCACTGGCCTTTGTAGGTACCTGGCTTTTCTCTCCACACGAGTCAGGTACCTCCTGTGCCTTCAGCATATTGACATTAGATTGTAGCATGGAGAGGACCAGGGGTCTGCTCCGTGTCAACCTTAAGAGGTCATCTTATTAATCAATTGGATAGAAGATCAATTGGTTCATTCAACACATACTTACTAATCACTTACCCCAAACTCCGATAGAACTTGAGACCCAGTAGCATGAGTATGTGAGTTATGAGTGCATTATCCACACCTCCCGATTGGACCATGAGGCCCTTCAGAAGAGTCTGGTCTCGGCTTACCACTCCCTGTCTTCTGACATTGGGCAACTCGCTTCACTTTGGGGTGCCTCAGTTTCCCCATTAGGGGAGGCAGATAATAAACAGCATTCGAAATCCACTGACTCACTTTCTTCCCACTCAACTCAGCGAATATGAGTAAAGCACAGAGCATAAGAGTTACTGACAGAGCTCAAAGAAGGAGGGATCGAGTGCTACTTAGGAGAAATCAGTTCTTTACTGAGGCTGGGAAATGGCTACACAGAACTTGGTCGTCCAGCTCTGTCTCCTTTTGCGCATACTTGAAAACGCCCCTACAAAAAAGCATCAAAATAAATACGGGACAGCCTAGCAGGCTTCAGATGGTGGGTAGCAGCCGAGCAGAATTGGAGCAAGGGTAGGATTTCAATGAACCGACACTGGGTCAGGGGCCATTCCAGGCAGGGCAGGCACATCCAGAGCGCAAGCACAGCGACTGGAAAATACAAAGTGTTCACAGAGGACCGGGAGCAGTCATGCGTGGCCGCAGCACGGGGTGCTAGGAGGGAGTAGTGGGAGATGGGACGGAAAGGCATCGTGGGGTCAGAGCCGGAAGGGCCTGGAGAGGCCCAATGAGGAGCCTGTGCTGGATTCGGTTCCGCAGGAAGGTGACCTCACTGGGGAGGCCGGAACCGTCCCTGCCCCTTCTCAGCCCCCTCTGAGTGCAGGCCCGGGAGAAGGGCATGGGGCAGAAACTGGCAGAGGAGTCATCGCCCGGCTTGTTTCTTCACCAGGAAACGAGGTTTCCTGTAACTCAGACCGTGAATCAGCATTTCCTCTGTCAATAATACACAGAGAGAAATGCAACAGCACAGGGCTTGGCGGGGGGAATGGAAGACAGGAAGGAATATTCCATGACACGCTGGGCTCTGCTCTCCTTTACCCCTCCCCGCGAAACACTCCTGATAAGTTCCCAAACGACACTCGGGTTTCCTACCAGACGTCTTGCAGACGGTTTCACGGTATCACGTAAGGATGAAGGCCCCCCACGTGCCCAGCTCTCTTGCCGTAGTTTGTGTTTCTGTCACCACGGGGATAAGCAAGGGCGCCGTCTGCATTCTCTCGCGTTAGAACTAGACATTCGTACGACAGTGCTTCATCCTTGCAGAAGGTTGGAGGGTGTGTTTGATTGGCCCTTTAGTTTTCACACCCCCCTGTCCAGTATCTTATTTGATTCTCATAATAACCCTGTGAGGTACACGAGGAATATTATACCTATTTCACAAGTACAGATACTAGGGCAGGGACACAAAATGATTCTTCCCTGCAGATCTGTTTTGAAGGAGCCGGAACTGATCCCAGCCCTTCAAACCCCAGTCCAGGGTTATTTTCAAGGTCATAGACTTAAATAAAGTTTGTGATAATATATATTGTGTAGATAGACAGACATGCATACATGCAGTGTATTTATTTAAAATATAAATATATTCTTGGGGCACCTGGGTGGCTCAGTCGGTTAGGCGTCCGACTTCAGCTCAGGTCATGATCTCATGGTTCGTGAGTTCGAGCCCCGCGTCGGGCTCTGTGCTGACAGCTCAGAGCCTGGAGCCTACTTTGGATGCTGTGTCTCCCTC